GAATAAATCCTTACCCAGGCAAGGGCTTACTCAGTGGCTAGGTTAATGAAATTGAGCCTGAATGGTCCAGAAGTCCATTACCATAAACTACCCAGCACCCTAACACGATCCAGCCTCACAGGGGGCGCCTCACCACCTATGCTTTCCCCATGCCTCTGCTGCCCATGAACTGACCTGACTCAGCTTCTGCCCACCTGTCACATGTTCAGGCTTTGTCCTTTACCACTTGCCTGTTTCTCTCACTAAACTTGTGGTAAGCTCCCTAAATAACTAATTCCTTCACCAAATTGTGTAGGCCAACTTTATGGAGTTTCAGCCAGTTCATCTCCGGTGACTGGCAAGCTGATGGACTGCTTGTGAACACTTATCACAGCTTCAGTGGGCTATGACAGGATAGTGAGGTCATTTGGCACAAAACATAGAAGAGCCCCACAGAGAAACAACTGCCTACAGCCCTATCTCAGCAAGACATTCTGAACAAGATTGACACACACAACAGGTCTGAGGACAGCGGGAATATGTGATGTGTAATTAATTTCTCCCCTTTACCTATGAATGGAAATTACAATTTAGCAAGTGCTTTTTTCACCTCAGGTCCTATGCTGTACATCTGAGTTGAGTGACTCTCCTAGATTTACAGTTACAGACCCACAAAGTCAGCATTCACCCCTGGGTCACATGAATGTCAGTACTCAAACCTTATTCCACAGCCCAAGAGGCAGAATAATACTCAGAGGAAGAGGGCTCTGGATGCATGGACAACTCGAGGCCCTCTCTCTGCCCTCCATTATCCATTGCACGACTTTGAAATCTTTGAGACTTAAAATACAAGGGGCAAATTTAGTAATCTTTAATAAAACAAATATTCCAATAAAACTTGATGTGGTGATGACAGATCTGTGCAAGTTCTTCCTCTCCTGGGAAAAGACCACTCAATGATACTGGTGATGTTTTACATCACTTCAAGTGCAACAGGGACTTTAAAAATAGAACTGAAAGCTACAGCTGAAATTTGAGCTATGTTTAAAATATTACCAATTATGAATGTAATCAATGCCACCAAATTGTACACATAAATGGCACTTTTATACTTTTAAAATGACACTAGGAAATACAAAATGCCACACATGCCAACTGGAAAACTCAACCAGCACATAAGGCCATTACACAATAACCCATGTTTGAAAGAAGTCTGCTTTACTAAGATGACAACAAGGGCCTTAAACTTACGCATTTCCCATTTGGAGTGTGGCATCTCTAAAATGTAGACATGTGGGCCCTCCCCAGTGGTGCAAGAGATTAAAGTACAGTACCACAAAGCTGATGCACTACGAAGCTAGATGCAGCAGCTTCAGCACGTAAGTTTGATCCCGGACAGGGAAGTGACACATGGCGCAGGAAACCTCTCCTGTCTTGCCCGCTGCACCCCTCAGCACTGTACTTCAGCCATCTTCCTGTTCTGCTCCCACTGTCTCTGGTGAACCCTCTCACCACCCCTGCACCTCTGGCCTGTACCCCAGTTCTGTATGAACAACCTTAACACACAAAAAAAAGTGCATCCTCATTGCATACTAAAAAATTTTACATTGTATTTCCATCATAAATCTACCTACTGAAAAATGTAAATGTGAAATGTACCACAAACCTTAACGTTGCTTCAATGTTAAACATTGTCATTAATGTCTTGCTTTTATAGCACTTACCTGCATTTCTGAAGTCATTTCTGATGACTCTGGGAACACACTTCATACCCTACTACAGGTTGCTCAAAGTAGGCTCATCCTTTGTACTTACACATCTTTGGTTGTGAAAGATTTTCTTCTAGGCGTGATTACCCACATTTGTCAGCTTCAGGTCAAATGACTCTTGGGAACTCCAAAAAGTAAAATTCCTACCCATAATGGAGGTGTAGGGCATGACAGGTTCTAAGAATGTGAGTTCTAAAATACCTGGAACAGTGGCAGTATTGCAGGAATGTGTTCAGGTTCGAGAAATCGAAACCTTAAGACCTTTCAACCTCTAAGTTATTTTGCAGGACTGTAGTCTCACCCCTTCAGTCACAGCATCTGAAAAACTGCTATCCAAAACCTAAGAAGCTGTGCTTGCAGTCTAATTAATCATATCCGTTGTTTTCCAAAAATGCTTCCTACCAGTTAAAATTCCAAAATAATGGATGAGAAAGGTCTTTCCAAGTCCTTCTACCACTTGTTTTCTACTTGTGTTCGCTTCTCTTACTCAGTCCTCTCCCATTCTTCCAACCCCTCCCCCACCCTAATTTCCAGTTCCTTCTCATTCACAGGGAGGGACGATCATCTCACTTGTGCTCACCGTGGCTGTGATAGCACTCTCTGCCATCAACGTGGGCAAGAGCATCCTATTTATCTTCACACCACACTTAATGGCCACCTCCTCCCTAATGCCTTTTGTTGGCTTCCTGCTGGGCTACATTCTCTCTGCTCTTTTCAGCCTCAATGGACGGTAGGTATCATTCAGTTCCCTCTGCCCCACCGACATCATTCTTGGTCCTGGTCTCTCATAAAAAGAACAAAATCCATCATCTGGAGAAGGCATTTTCCTAGCAGTTGTCTTCAAATCCATCAACTGAACAAGGACCTTCACACTGAGAAATACTGCAGAAAAAAGGTATTGACTGATTTACCTACTAAGGTAAACCCAAAGACCAAAGGCATCTGGTCACCCACTGGGGTAGATTCGTACCACCACAGCAAGGGTTCATGTTGATTCTTCCTTTCCCACTTTTCCTGGACTGTCAGGGATTTTGTCTTGAGAACAAGTGGGTGACCGTCCTGTTAAGTGGCAATGCTGCTATCTTATCAAGTTCACAGTGCTACTAATAGTTAAGAACAATTTGAGAGTACGGTGTGAAACATGAGGCATCCTGCCGACAGAAAGAACATTTCAGGGACAAGGTTTCAACCACAGACACATGCATGTGTAGGAGCTACTAAAAGCAACCTAAGTCCCTCTCCCCAACCTCCATTTTTTTTTAAATAAATTAACTTTTTAAACCATACTATTAAGATTCCTATAGAATTTTAACACAAGGGCTATACAGGTAATCAAAATGCTGTCAATGACCAGTGTCAATTTTCAAAGACAAATGGCCACATCAAGTGTTAACATGGTAACCTCCACATTGTTCCTTGATGGTGCTCAGGGCTTTATTAGTATACTAACCGCAGTTAAATGTAGACATACCACTCTTTAACCATAAAGTGAAAAGGAAAACAAAGTGAATATTCTGAAGATAACAGGGTGAATCAAATTTGTCTTTTAATTACATGTTCCAAACCCTAAGCTTGGGGACAAGATTCCCAGACATTTCAGACATCTCTTATTGAAACTGCAGTTGTCCTGAATGTAAAGTCTACAAAAACTATTGAATGGTACTCTCTTTCTCCAAATTTTAATTTAATCCTACAGAAGTACACACACTTCAGAGTTACTAAGAATCATCTGAGGTAAGCACACCTGTCCCCACCTTCCACAAGGCTAATAACAATACAGTATGTCAACTTTTCTTGAAACCATGTGTACTCCATCTGACTCACATCCAGTGTTCCATGGGTCTTAAGAGCACCTGGGAAGGGGTGCAGAAAGGTGAGAAAGTGTTACACCCTTACGTCCTTTCTGAGGGCATACGGGGTTTTTAACCTACACAGGTGCAGGCGCACAGTCAGCATGGAGACCGGCTGTCAAAACGTTCAACTGTGTTCCACCATTCTCAATGTGACCTTCCCCCCTGAAGTCATTGGACCACTTTTCTTCTTTCCTCTCCTGTACATGATCTTCCAGCTTGGAGAAGGTCTTCTCCTCATCGCCATCTTTCAGTGCTATGAGAAAATAAAGCCTTCCAAAGGTGAGTGTATCTTTTGGTAATTCCACTCTCTTAAGTGATCCTGCCAGCAAGTAGGCTCTGAAAGGGACCTTTAGGATGGGGTTGGGGTTTCTATCAGGTCACTTGAAACAGAGGACCAAGTAGGGATGGACCTCAAAAAGCCAAGGCTCAGTCCATTAACTGCATTTATAGTATGCTCTCTAAGCTAGAAGATTCAACTGTGTATAGTTTGCCTCCCAGGACACCAAAGCAACTTTGACTCCTTTGAGGAGGAAAACAAACAAGAGTCAGGGTTAGATATAAGCTAGATGTGCTCGACATTAGACAATTACTTCAAAACCCTTAATTCACAAAAATCCAAATGTTTCTGTACCATTTAACACCAAGTTCTAACATTCCTGAGAGCCAGGTCAGAGCTCCAAGCACTGCCGACACCCTTACTATGTAAAACTTCAGCAATGCAGCCTTACAAGCTAGAATCCAAATAAAAGTGTTCCAACTCTGGCTACAGAATTAAGAAAACAAGTATAAGCTTATTCAACAAAAACTGCCACTATAACCTTGTCAACATAAATTGTACTCTAATCTGGTTACCTTGAGTTAATTTCCTGGTCAACAGTACCTCATTTCTAAGGTGCACAGAGCATCTCTCTTCAAAACAATCAACCTCATTGCCTGTTTTGTTCAGAGTATATCTTTAAAACACAATTCCTTTCTCTAAACCACCCACATTCCACTAAGTTTTAACTCTTACTTTTAAGTTAGCTTCTCACTTTTATTTAAATCAGCTTCTTACTGACCATGAAAATTAAGAGAGTCTTCAATCCCAGGTATTTACACCTTAGAAGTATCATCCCCCTGGTGGAATTAAAACAGCAATGAAGTTACAGTTAGCTAAGTAAGATTAATCGTGTTGAAACAGACTCCCTTGTGGCACAAGGGGTCAAACAATTATGTAACATTGAAGCAATCTGCAGCCACTTGCAGCAAGAGTTCCAACCCCCATCAAGACGCTACCCACATGGTAGAGCAGACCTCTTTTGGATTCGTTGTTTTAAGATTTATGCATGGGCCCTACCAGGTGGCGAATCAGGTTAAAGCACTATGAAGCTATCGCAGCCACTGCAGCTTGAGTCCAATCCCATCCCTGGCCAGGGGGGTGATTCACATGGTGTGGCAAACCTCTCCTGACCTGCCTGCTGCTCCCCTCAGTATATTTCAGTCTGTTTTGCTCCCCACTGTCTTGGTGAATCCTCTCACCTCCCACACCTCTGACCTATACCCCTGTATGTATAAATCTTTCCCAAAAAATTATTTATTTATGCATCCAAGAGCTGGAATACAGGTTAGAAGTGTACCCACTGTTCCCCTCAGCAGTGTATTTTGGTCAATCTATCTGTTCTGCTCCCCACTCTCTGGTAAATCCTGTCACCACACCCCAACCCCACCATGGCACCTGTGGCCTATAACCCAGCTATTGAGCTATTGTATGCACATCTCTTAAAAAAAAAAAAACAAAAAAACAACAACAAAAAAAAAACAAAACCTCACTATACCCCAGAACCATTTTAATTGAAATTACTCAAAATTACTGCTCAAACAAATTTATAGTCCTAAACTTATCTGACAGCAACTCAAGAAATGTTTCCCCCATGAAGTCTCCCACTCTGATGAAAATAGCTCAAAGAGGGGAGAAGTTTCTAACAGAATCAATTAAGTTCCCAGTAGTTTTGAGTCCCGGAAAGATCTGCAATGCCCTCAAAGGGTCACACTCTCACTATGGGTGGTTTGACTCTCAAAACTCAGAAACTTCACTTGCAACGCACTACAGAAGACTCCTGTGGAACACTAGGTGAAAACAAGACACCAAATTTTGGTGCTACTGGGTTTCATTGAAGTTTTTGAGTTCTTCTAGAGATGGGAAAAAAGGGGAGGACCCTGACACACCTCTCATCCATACAGGGAAAGGAAGAAATACAATGTGGGAGGGCACAAACTCCCCTTGGAAAGATTTCCCCAAAAATCTTACCTCCTGTCCCCCAACTTGCTCCCAGAATGCAAGTTAACCATGTTCAAACTCAATCCACTATATTTACACTTATAAAGTTGTTATGAATGGAGTGAATATTCTTCCATATTACACATAGTAAGAGTTTAAAACAGATAAAAATGGGAGGGGAGGAGAAGCGACATATGCATAGCCTGGATAAAAGTTGTTTTTTATTTTCCAGACTGAAACTTTGTACTAATTACCATTTTTCTCCTTCTCCACCTTTAACCCTCTTTAACTTTATAGACAAAACAAAGATGATTTACACAGCTGCCACAACTGAAGTAACAATTTCAGGAGCTATGAGCAATGGCACACACAAAGGGGAATGCAGTGCTCCCGGGAACATCTGAACCTTCTCCCAGCATCCTGGATTGTGGTCAGAGAGCAACACAGATAAGCTCTGGAGAACAGAGTGTGATAAGCTCTGGAGAACAGAATGATGAAAGAACACCCAAGTCTGAGTCTTTGCCCAGTATTTCTAGCAAAAACTACCAATCAGCCGGCCTTGACAGAGGACAGTCAACCTGAAAAGCCTCACCTGTTTCCAACTTAGGATTTGATACTCCTTTATAAAAGACACTCAATGACAGCTGGAACTAAAACTGCCTTTTCCTGTGGTGTCTCTATCACCAGTGCCTGATAAACATGTAAAGACACACAATTTCTGACTAGTCAAAAAATGTTTTATCCAAAATAAAATTCAAATTATGTTCCAACTTTGTTTAAAAGATGCTGTAGAATCAGACTTAAAAAGGCCTTTCTGACCTTAGAAAGCCAGACCACATTCCTTCCGTTTTGAGGTTACTATGACTTAAGTTCCTAAAGACACAAAATACAGCAAGTATGCAGAAACAGAAATAAAATGCAAAAAGCTATCAACTCAAAAGTTAGCCACCGTAAAAATAAAAGAACATTTTTGAAGCACAAGTTATAAACTAACAAGAAAAAGCCAGGCAACAAACACTAATGTATTGTTTCACTAACCCAATAATCTTCTCCAAAACTTATAGCACTACAAGAGAGACCCAAAATGTGGCTATTCCGTTTAAAGATACTCAAATAAATGGAGCTCTCTGATTCTCTAATAAATCTAAACATTGTGTATATTGTTCATATGCAAATATTTGTGAGACTCATTAACAAATACTGCATTTGGATACTGTTAATGCCTTTTCCAAGTGTTTACTATTTAGATCCAACTGAAATTTTAGGATTACTACTCTCGCAAACAGAGAGCTATCAGTACTCCCAATTAAACAAGTTTAATAACAACCCTCTTTAAAATACTTAACACCCAACCATTGCTTTCACATAACAAATCTGGTTGTTTTCTCTCTCTCTCACTACCTGCTGGATACCTAGTTAAGAATAAAATGAAAACAAGCACAGGATTTTGAGGAAGTGCGGAACCTGAAGTACAATTACCTTCAAACTTCATTGAGGACCACAGAAGACTTCATAAACACAGAAAACAAAACCACTGTCCCACAAAACGATGGTCATCAAACTTAACTGTTACACTCTTCCCTCATAGTACATCTCTAATCCTGGATCTGGCAATTCAGGCTAACATGTTAGTTCAAACCAACTCCCATTCATCTCTGAGACATGTTCAAATTAAAAGGCTCAAAATTCAAATGACTTTGCAGGCTAACAAATATTTGTACTATTCAAGTAGCAAGCCACTGACATATACCTACTTGGGGGAAATAAAGGTGGAGGGAAAAACCCAACCAGCAAAACTTCAAAGTACACACTATCCTGAACTACTGTATTGAAAATGCCCAAAGACTTATTTAACTTGCAACTTATAACTTGTATAACCTTCAGACCACTATGTAAGAAAAAACCTAGGCTGGCACCCTCCACCAAAGTTAAAAAGTTACTATATTACCCAACTGCTCCCCACATTTTGCCTCACCTCAAAAGCATAAGCTCTGTAATTTTATGAACTAAGTTCTACAGGAGGTAGTCTTGACGCAAATACACTAAAAACCTTTTAAATCCCTCAGAAGTTCCTACTAACCAATCCCTAAAGTGTGGGGGGAACCAGAAGCATACAGTCTAGTGCTTCTCTAATCTTGCTCCCCTCAAAATCCATGCAAAGCCATAAGTGAGACTTTGGGGTTCTGTAAGTGCACCTTCTGGATTCTAACACTAGCTGGGTTTTCTCTTTGCTCCTCAATTTTCTTCTATAAAATGGTACTATTACATAATAAGTAATTTTGCAGCTTTAGACACTATACATAAGTCAAGACACTTAAAAAGTACTCAATTACCACACATTACTGTTGTCAAATACTCAATCCTGTCTATATTACTACATTAGACTATCGGTCCAGGATTCCTAAAACAATCATTTCCTGTAGGAACAGGGCCCTAATAGTCCAACAAAGGTAGATATAAAACCTTAAAATAGTTTCCACCTTGAAATTATTCTTCCCTTAACATTGTCACATCCATGCCAAGCACAAAAAGCATCTTAAAGCTCCCTTAGTAAGACTTCATGTGCACAGATTAAAAAAAAGGAAGTCTAATTAAGTAAACTAACTGATGCCAACAAACCAGGTGGTCAAGGGAAAGAACGTAGGAAGGTTACACAATAGCAAATGATCATAAACGTTTAGTCAACACTATTTTGAAAAAGCAATTTTCCTTGCCTGTATTGTGACTAGCCTAGAAATGTCAAAAGCAGTGCTTTAAAAAGGGGAAAAACCCACCATACAAATGACTACAGAATTCTCTACAAAGGATTTATGTGCTGAATGTACACAAAGAGGAAGTAAATATACTTCCCTCAGAAAAAAGACAAAAGCAGTTTTATAATCTTTTATTATCAATAACAAACAGCTGCTTTAATGTGTTTTTGCCAGGCAGCTGTTTAAAAGGTGGTTAAGGACACCCTTGACCCTAACAAGGGAAACTCAAGTTAAGCCTTTTATGTACAAGCAAATTTAGAGCTCTTTTATGTGTCCAAAGCTATTAATTAGTTTAATTGAGGCATTAAACTAATTCTGAATGAAGACAACTGAGTAAACAGGAACTAAAATACTCAAAATTTTTTCTAGTACAAAAAAAAAATTAAATTGGCTTTAGTTTATAAAAGAGCTCTGTCAATATACACAACTATATACTTCAGACATTCACAAAAATGTGAGCAGAAGGCTTATCAAAAGACATTTAATACAATTAGTTTTCAACAACCCCTTGGTGGTCCACATCTACAAAGATATCCAGCCCAACCCCACCCCCAACCCTCCAAATCCCACCCCCACAGAAAAGCACATACTTACCAGAACTTTTAGCAAGTATGGTTTGGGAATTTGGTTTTTTTGTTTTGTTTTGTTTTTTTAAAAAAGGCCCCCAGGGCAAGTTATTTACAGTTTAATTGCCACTGTCAACTGATCTGGACCTTGATCGGGACCGGGACCGGGACCTCTGGCGATCCACAGATGCTGGAGACTTAGATCTACTTGAAGAACCACGTTTTTGGCTCTTCTCAGGCACAGGAGACCTACTAACAGAACGGGACTTGCTCCTGCTCCTGCTCCGGCTCCGGGACCGACTGTAAGACTTGCGACTCCGGGAGCGAGATCTGCTACGAGACCTAGAGGAACTCCTGGTCCTGGAACGAGACCTGCTTCTGGACCTACTAGGAAGGAGAACAACAAAAATCAGCAGCAGGTTCTACAACTCCATTAAATAAAATATGAGTTAAAACGTTAAGAGAAGTACCTGTGCCTTTTGCTGCCTTCAATTAATTTGATTTTTCTCCCATTTATTTCCTTCCCAGAAAGTTTTTCAATAGCATTCTTTAAATCGCCATAAGAGGCGAACTCAACCACCCTGAAACAACAGAAATCCTAGATGAAGTTATAAAAGCATCTTTTAATCTCACAAATTTAATTAAAAGCAGTCTAGACTGAGGACCTTTTTTCATTCTGTTTGTGCTACGAAAGTCTCATTTCTTGATAGGTAACATACCATTAGAGCAAGGTTTCTCATTCCAAAAGAGGTGACCTTTTATTTTGTTTAAAGATCCATTTATGCATACAAGCACCAGGGTCCAGGCCAGAGGTATTAGGCCCACAGTGGGAGAAGGATTCACCAGAGACAAGAGTGGGCAACAGAATAGCAGATTGACTAAAATACACTGCTGAGGAGATGGCAATACAGGAGAGGTCTGCTGCGCCGTGTGGGCCACCTCCCAGATGAGGAGTGAAGGTGCTGCAGTGGCTGCAGATCACTTCACAGTGTTGTGCTTTAACCCCTTCTGCCACCAGCGAGGACCCAGAAGAGGTGACATTTTAAGTCAGTCTCTACTGAAGGGATTTCTTCCTTATAAGAAGTTTAGAATGAGCACCTCTGATTAAACCCACAAGCTGCCAGAAGCACCCACACCAATTATAACCAACAACGTGTCCAGACTTTACCAACAGTCATCTAGGAAGCACACGTGAGTGAGAATTACTGTACTGGAGCCTATGGAGTTTTAACTCAGTCAAAAACTTCAGAATAGTCTCGAACAGTCAAAAATTTCAGAGTATTTCAAGATCCGTAACTTTCAGGACCTACTCACCCTTCATTTAATTTAGGCCGATGTGCATCCGCAAAGGTTACTTCCCCAGCTTGTCTCATGAAATCTTTGAGATCCTTAACACAAGACAATTGTGTTAAGCCGAGAAAAGGTAATGTGGACACACAAACAATCACATGGTATAAAAACAAGACTACTGAAAGAGAAGATGTTAGATAAAGTACAAACATGGCATTTACCACACTTGTATTCTATCAGAATTCAAAAATTATATCAGGGCACGAAATAAGCAAAAAGCATATTGCTTTTAAGCAAAATGCTAGAGAAAATTCAGATTTTAACATTAAAGTAGTATTAGTCTATACTGAGGCATAATACAAAAGGAAAACAAAAAAACAAAACAAAAAAACAAAACAAAAGGAAAACAGTACATATTTTAAAAGTAAAGACTAAAGTAGAAATTTTATATTTAAAAACAGAACATTTACAAGACACCAGTTATTTTGTGCCCCATATGCCATTAAAAAAGTTTACTTTACCTTTATTATTATTTCCCTAGGCTAGTCAAGCAGCAAATCATTAATCGGTCGGAGAAACCTTCATGACATATGCCCGACTGGCTCTTCGCCACCCACTTGAAGGACACTACCCAATCGATGGAAGCCTTTAATCGCACAGCCCTCCCTATTAGCAGACTACTGGCGGATGCAGACACGTTCTACTCTTGAGCAGTTACCAAGGACCACTTTACTGCGATCAGGATTCCAACGACCACCTAATTTCGAATCTTTGAACTCTTTCGACCAGGACCTCTTATTCGGAAGCGTTACAGGAAGACCGCTCTCAACTTAGGGATCAGATCACGTTATCAACGCTCTGGGATCGCTGCAACCTGGCACTTCAATAAGTGCATCGATTACGTCTAGACCGGCAAACACAGATCTAGAGGTGGCCAATTGATCACTGTAGGAGCTGACTGGCAAAGTCAACCAGGCCCAACCAAGAGTGACCAAGACAACGATTAGGATAACCCACAGGCACTCCTCGTCATAAGGCCAACGACACAGATAGGCTGGCAAATAAAGGGTTTAATATTTGGTTAAAATTGATTTTTAAGAAACAAGAAAAAAATATCCTCAAAACATTTACATTTGATCACTAATATTAAAATTTGAAACATCCCCCAATTACATTAAATTAAAATTTAAAATTACAATTAAATCCATTAATTTAATTAAAGATAAAACTACTTTTAATAAAATATTAATAAAAAATTAGCTACCCACTAAAAAAATTTAAAAAACAACAACATTGAAATATCTCAAAACTGTGTTTCAACAAACCTGCCA